TACTAGAAGCAAGGGACGCTACTAGGGGCTCCTGGCCTTACTACTAGGAGCAAGGGACGCTACTAAGATATGAGATGATCTGAGGAAGCTGCGGGTGAACAGGTTGGAAGGGATGGGTCGGATGGGTGCACAGGTCCATGTCCCCGTCGCAACGGATTTGCTCGCAAACCGCCGGGAAAAAACCCAGCACCGGATTTCGACGATTCGCCGTCCATGTCATTTCAGGATTCCAAGACCAGGTTCAGTTAGTGGCTGTCATTCTTTTCTTCAGCCCAGCACGCGCTTGCGGTCGGTCCTCTGTGAGGATGAAATCAGTCGGCCATCTTCGAGCCAACGCCACGGATCATGTGACTTTCAACACGAAATCCGAAACTCACCCGGCATTGGACTGGATGCCATGGCAGCGGCCACTCTTGGCTCCACCTTTCCGTTGGAGCTTTGGAAATCGGTAGGTCCCTTCATGAGGTGATCCGAGCCTATTGCTATTTAAAGGATATGGGTCACTGCAGGGGATCACATCAAACAATCCCCTTGCGCAGTTCAAAAGTCTCCAAATAGCCCGTTCATCCACCAAAACCTGTCGTTCGAAGCTGCAACATGTTGCATTGTTGGAATTTGTTGGAAGCTTTTTGTGCGCCGTGATTTTTGGAAGTCTAAAATTGCCGCAAAAAGTGAGGCTGCAGGCCTTCCCAACTGTTCGAACTGGAGACGAGAATGGACGTGCAATCCCTCCCCTGGTGATTCCGCCACTCAGATGAAGAACACGCTCGGGTTGTTAAAAGCTGCGGTTGTTACGAGCCCATGGTCGGAGTCAAAACTGGCCCTGAAAACTGTGACCTGACTTACCCCACATGAAGTACTTCCACCAGAAGTTGCTCGCTTGCAGATCTTTCTTTTCCACGACCCAGGGTCACTGGTGAGGCGTCGCGTGAGATGCTGGTTGCACCATGTTGCACCATGTTGCACCAAGAAACAGCTTGATCCGCTGAGTGGGACACGTGTGAGACCTAGAAGTACCACTTCTCATGTGCAAGACCGGTGGCCGACCGCCGGATCGCTACCCTTCGCTCGCTGAGTCGACCCGGTCGGACCCGCCGAAGGGGCGTCCGACAAGGCGAAGGGGAGTGTTCAGCAAGGACGCTCTTCGGTGGAGGCTCTCTTATTAGATAGAAACCATCCGTAGAGTACGTTCCTGGGACGCCAGCTGTAGAGTGCACCCAACTTCACAGGTCCAACTGAGAAGTGGCCCAAGGTCTAAGAATCCTCGAGAACGAGTCGGGGTGCTGGTAGAGTGTAGTAGAGACTATCCTCTATGGAGGCTGTAGATGCCTCACAAATCCTCTGAACAATTCAAGATGTTGTGTGTGTGTGGGTGTCAAACCCTGTTCCAAAAGGTACGTTAAAGTCTGTAATATGCGCACAATAACTCGTTTTGCGAACTTTCTTCTAAGTGTGTCTTTTTATCTGGGCCCGACTGAACGGGCCCGATCCCCTGCGCACGATCGGTGTTTCGGGTCCCAAATATTCGTGTCGGGTCCCTGCTTTCGGGTGCTGTATAAAACATGCAAATCATTTGCAATAATACACCCCCATCGAGTGAAAACTGAAGAAACCAGCGATTCCGATCTTCTTTAGGGATGCACCAATCCCCGGAAACGAGTTTGAAGGTCGACACTGCGTCGATAAAAACGTTTGTCTATAGACCTAACTGACCTAACTCAACAGAATCATGCCATATCATGTCATATCATGTCATTTCTATCACAATCCCACAGGATTCACATTCACAATACCTCTTTGACTCCTGTGCCAAGGGTGTCGGGCTGGGATTCCGGCTTGAAGAGTCCCTACATGTCCCTACCTTCACAAAGGGGCGAGAACATGCGAGAACGAGATCCTGATCAGTTTTCACTGCAGTTCCATGTCCCGGCGTAAAAGGCTCAGCCATCGAAAGAAGAATCATCCCCCAGGAGCTTCACCGCTCCTTCGTCTCACTCCCAAGCCTTTTCGATCGACCTCCACCCGTTCATGTTGAGTGGGGAAAGCAATCCCCAGAAACAGGTCAAAGGTTGTCCACGTTTCCTAGTGGGCAGGTAGTGGATTCGGAACCAGAATCACCATTACCAGGGGCACTGACACGTGTTGGAACAGCCAGAACTCAAGCAACCTACTGGTAGTTCTTCAAAGGCTTTGTGCTACTCTAGTTTGGTTTCTGACCGGCCTGTAAAGGGTCCACTAGCAGTGTACTGGGACTCCAAAAGTCTCAAAACTGAAAGTGGCTGAGACTTGCACTTGTACAAGCCAACCAATTCAACACATGAAAAATGCTAGACCCATCTAGACCTGCTATTAGGATGGAGGCCATCGCTTCTAGGTTAAGTCTTTCCCGGTGATGTTCACTTCGAAGTGCCCACCTCGTTGAGTTCCAAATGGCTTCAAAGACATTCCTGTTGGCTTTGGGATGAGATCCAAACCTGAGTCTCCATGGGGCGCCAGGTGGCTATTTGATGCTATCTTAACAAGTCTTTTTGCAAGTTCGTAGTTTTGCAGTTGCTAAATTTGTTTCCATGGTGACCCCGTCTACTTGTTGTTTCATCCGTTGTTTATGCCAGTTCACCATGGAGAAGAACGTCAACAACCATCTTCAGTAGTGTGATCAAGATACAACAACCTGTTTGCATGTTCTTTTGCTTTGTTCTCTTCGCATTGCTTTCATGGCTCCAAATCCACCAACCACTCACCCACCAACCTGTTGGGATCCGTGGCCCTTTCAGAGCTGTCGGAGGAAGACGCTGCCGCTGCTACTGATCTTGGTGGCCCAGCCTGCGGGAGGAAGACCCCCTGGTGACCGGAGAAAAAAACAGCCACGAAAAGCATGTCTTCCCGCGAAGAAAAGTGAAAACAATAACTATTGTTTGCCAAGCGAGACCTCCATGGGTTATCCACTATATATAGCAAACAGCTCGGCTATCCAGGCGGAAGTGATGAAAATTGTCAGATTCGGGGCACCAAATTTCTTGTTGTTTCATTGAGCAAAGTGGCATGCTGCATACAAAAACCAAGTGAAAACAATCGATGAAAAACCATGAGAAACAAGATGAAACAACAAAACGACTCGCCTGCCCGCTCGTTGCTGCCCTCGCCCCTGAGCCCCTGAGCCTCCGGGCCTATGCGTCCATCACTCATGGCGCGCACGCGTGCGCGCAGCAGCCCCGAGGTCTCGTCGATGGATTCGACGCCGGTGATCTCCAGGATCTCTCCCACACGCAGCAGGCGGAAGGCATCCTGGAGATCTGTGGGATGACCCTCCGACGTCCGTTGACCGAGGGGGGTGGCAGAAGAAGACGGTGGTGACCGTGATGACCCATGATGACCCAGCCAAACAATATATCAAATAACACATCAGAAGTGGGCCACTACTAGGAATTGCTTGGTGTCGGAAATTCGGAACCAAAGAACATCTTCCCCCATGCCAAGGAATTCACTCATAGGGAAATAAAAATTAACCGATCAGCAAAACCAAGAAAATTCCAATGGCAACTCCGGTGGAAAGTGACC